AGCTATATAATTGCTTAAATAAATGTGTATAGATAAAGTTATCCTCCTGGTTAGTCAGATGATGACCAAGTTTAATGTAAATGCTATACACCTCTACCCCAATATAACACTGTCCTCTTACCGCGTTATAGGTGAAACCGCGTTATATCGAACTTGCTTTGATCCGCCGGAGTGTGCAGCCCCGCCCCCCCGGAGCGCTGCTTTACCTCATTATATCCAAATTCGTGTTATATCGGGGTAGAGGTGTATAGCATTTACATTAAACTTGGTCATCATCTGACTAACCAGGAGGATAACTTTATCTATACACATTTATTTAAGCAATTATATAGCTAAATTTACATTTATTCAGAATCGTAATTTTCACATTTTTGATTGTTAAAAATGGTGAATGATGCATTTCTTATGTACAAGAAGCTGATTAATTTTGTACTTGTGATTTTGTGTCAAGCTCTATTTGGGTGGAAATTCAAATTCAGTTAAATACACAAAAACAGCATTTTACCTTGTTTTTTAGTTAAATAAAACTAATGATTTTAGAACTAGTATATCTCATTCTCTCATACCTCATTTCTGCTCATAGATTGGAAGAGGAAAATAAGCTTTTCTGCTGTTTTGTTTGGGGTTTTTTTAACTCCCATTGGCATCTTAACTTTAAATGACTAGTCAGTGAACTGAACTGAAAAGAATATTCTCTCTGCACCCATAGAAGAGGATTCTGCTGTAATTTCTTGGTTAAATTTTTCAACAAACTGGTTCCAGGTTCTTATCTCATAACTCCTACCAAGTGAGTGGCTTGACTTTCTTAAAATCTTGGCAGCAGCCATGTACTGCTTAATGCATATTTTTATTTAATCTAAATGTTTTAATAGATTGTAATACATTTAGGCTTTAACATAAGATGCCATAATTTCAAATAGGATTATTTTTAAAAACTTGTATGAAATGAAATACAATTTATTTTTTAATCATTGAATTGTATCCACCCTGCTTTAAATTACGCAGGTAAATATTTCATCACTGGGAGTCTTTAAATGGGCTGCATGTGGCTCATCTAAAAGAAATGCACTAGTTCAACTTCAGGTTATTGGGATTCTTGCAGGAATTACTGGGTGTAATCTGTCTCTTCTGTTATGCAGGAAGTTAGACTAGATCATTAGAAGGACCCCTGCTAACCTTAAAATCTATAAATCTGCAACCGAACTACAATTCTGCTGTGGATGGAGCTCCCTTTTGTCTTCTGGAACAGGCTCTGGATTCAGGGGCCAGCATTAGAAAGGGGGTTGTGGGGGCGATAGGCACTCCAAAATTTGTCCTAACCCCTCCAGCACTACCCAGCTCCAGCTTCTGGCCTCCAACTTGGGTGGGGCATCTGGTGGGGGGAGGTGGAGCTAACACTTACCTAAGGAGGAGCAGGGGAGGGGATGACGGAGAAGGCCAGGGCCTCAAGAGGAGGTGCAGCCCCTCCAATTTTCTGTCTAGCCCATCTCAGCCACCCCTCTCCCTCCCCCCAGGAAGAGGCTGATGCTGCCCCTGTCTGGATTGATTAATTTATTTTTGTCATTTGTAAAAGTTCCCATCATCAAAATCTCCAGGCTCTATCTATCTATCTATCTATCTATCTAATATAAAGAGTTTGAAGAAAGGTAGATTATGCAACCCATATCTGAGCAAACAGTTTGGTGAGATGGTTAAATCTGTCTTTAGCCCATATGGTTAGCCTTTCACTAACATTCACTGTTAATGTAAAATATATAACTCTTCCTTATTATGTGTCAATATACTAAAACTAACCCACAATTCTAATATACACTGAAATCAATGGGAGCTTAGCAGAGAAGCACAGTAGGAACTGGCCCATAATTGGGAAAACGCTTGCCTGGCCTGATCTTTACACTGGATTTCAGAATGGCTGTCAGTGCTAGCTATTCCTTCTACAAAAAGCACCTCCACATTTATTATAAGGAGGAGCATCAAACTCAGCACATGCAAACAAGTTACTGATTTGTTTCTGATGCTTTTCTCTGATGTAGCTTCAGGTCTTATGACAACCACTCGATTTTTATTATAAAATAGGGGTCAGAGACTTACTCTGCCTTGAAAGTTCTTTCTCCGAACTTCTTCAGGATTCCACAGTTGTAGGTGTTCTTCTTGCTCAGAAGTAGGACTCTTTCCTTTATCAAAGGGAGCTAGAGTAATAACAAGCACATTGTCAAACGAAATGATCACATTTGATGGACTAGAAAAGAAAAAGCTGGCAGCGCCAGTTTAGAAACACAAAGCGCTCTTTCCTGATTAACTAAAAGTCCAAGCAAACCTAGAGTTCATTATGCAATCCTTAGCCCCAGCCCTTTATCGTGTAGGGGGGTGTATTATACACCCAAATTCTGCTACTCGCCTCCTCCGTAAGAAGCACCTTGCTTTGCAAATAGCTCCATTGATTTGAATGGGACTACACAGCCCTATGCTTGTAAGACTGTGTGCTGCTCTCTGTGCCACCTGACCCGCCACACTGAAATAACTGGGAGTGAATAGTCATTGGGTCTGAGTATTAGTAAAGGCAGAATTTGGCCCATAGCATTCTAAAAGTAGGTTAATGGCTAGATTTTAACTTCCCCACAAACTGTATGTCAAGGGAGATACTCTGCTACTGGTCCGTACCGGTGCCAAATCATGAGAGCGCATGTAGTTGAAAAGAAAGCAGAACCAAAGCTGTTACTACAAAAACAACAAGGAGTCTGGTGGCACCTTAAAGACTAACAGATTTATTTGGGCATAAGCTTTCGTGAGTAAAAACCTCACTTCTTCGGATGCAAAGCTGTTACTGTTTCACATCCTATCTGCTCAGGGCAGGAAGTACAGTGACTGCTTACCCTGGTATGCCTGGACCTAAGGTGTCTCTTACTCCCCCTGGCACCGCTGCACTGCATGCTGCCCCATCACGGTCTAGACCCAGGCAATAAGCATATGATTTTTTTCCTAAGGAATGTATATTGCCCATATTTAGTACAACTGAGCAATAATGATCACGGATTGACAGAATGGGTTGGAAAAGGGATAAAATTCTTGCAAAATTTTTGATGGTAAAAATATATACATGTATCATGACATTTCAAAATATGAAATTTTTCAACCCTCTGTAACATACTGACTCGTTCATGAGCAGTTTTCTGTGAGAGGTCAGGTAGTATTTATTCAGATGAAGATCAGCTTTCACACACAAACATGCAAAACTGTGATTTCCGGTCCCGTCCCCCCCCCGACACACACACACACATTTTGGTGCATGAAGCCACCCACTTGATGAAAATTTCACAAAAAGCAAACTTTCCAGGCAATTAGATGACCTGGAGCATAACGACAACTATTTCCCCTTCCGTTTTCGCACACCACTAAATTCAAAGCCAGTCATCTGTCATTTGTGTGCATTGCTTTAAAAAAAACCCCACAGATTAGTGTATACAGATATAAGGGATGGGGGGGGGGGGGGGGAGAGAGAGACAGATTTTAATTTCAAGATTCCTAGAGATTCTGGGATAATTGACAGAACAAAATTATTTTAAAAATGTTATTAAACAAGATTTGATTGTGTCCTCTTAAGGTTAAAATTGTTCAATAAACAGAAGTGCAGTTATGATCAGAAGGAAACTTTTGAATAGTTAGCAATATTTGGTTTTTCACACTGAAAATCTGAATACCTTTTCATCCAAGCAAACACCAGCGTTGGCCTCTTTGCAACAGTGTTCAATTGCATGCTCAACTTCAACAGCCAGAGCAAGGATTGTGGGGGCATAAAGAAACGGGTGCCGTCTTGAGACTTCATAGATGTGACTGAAAAGAAAATACAAAACAACATGTGTTACAACCAACAACAAATAGCCTCTAGTCTATACAAAGCATTTGGGGGAGGGATAGCTTAGTGGTTTGAGCATTGGCCTGTTAAATCCAGGGTTGTGAGATCAATCCTTGAGGGGGCCACTTAGGGATCTAGGGCAAAAATCTGTCTGGGGATTGGTCCTGCTTTGAGCAGGGGGTT